CCGTGCTCCCAAGTGGCGCACTGTAGCAGTGCGCCACCGGGCCAGCCCCTTCATCTGTCTTTTTCTATCTTGATTAGATTTACTCTTAGGAGAGGAGGTACAGCCTTAAGACTGTAGATTGCTCACTTTACTCAAATTTTGAGTTAGCTTATTCTATTTACATTTCACTTGGTTATGGAATATTTGTTTATAATTTAAATCTGTGTTGCCTGGTAGGGTCTAATTTTTTTAAGTAACAATTATTTTTTGTTTTGAGTACAAAATTACTTATTTTTATTGTAGAAAATTTGAAACATGCAGAAAACCAGAAAAGATTATAAGACATCCATTAATCTGACATGATTAAGAGTTTGATGAGAATAGTCTCATCTCATTTCTATGCTTTCCTGCCAGCTTATCATTCTTTATATGTACATGTTTATATATATTAAGATTGGGATTATACTATTTTGGAAACTATTTAACCTTAAAGTATTGTGAACATTTTTCATATTTTAAAATGTCATTTTGGGCCGGCCTGTGGCTCACTTGGGAGAGTGTGGTGCTGATAACACCAAGTCAAGGGTTAGGATCCCCTTACCAGTCATCTTTTAAGAAAAATAAGTAAATAAATAAAATTAAATGTCATTTTAATGGTAGCAGGTCCTATTCAGTAGTACCACATCCATTTAGTTGGTCCTCAATTGGTTATATATGTTGTTTCCTTCTTCATCATGATCATCTTCTCTCTGCCTTCTCTTTTCTTTCATCTCTCTTCTTTCTTCTTCTTTCTATTATAGATACTTTTTGCTATTGGATACTTAATATTTTCTCTACACGGAATATGGCATTTTGAAACTGTACAAAGCTTTAGATTGGTACATATTGTATTTGGTAAAGAGCAATGACCTTTGTTGACTGATGTGATTTAATATTTTTACATAATATGTTACTATTTACCTTATAGAAATTTTGAAAATTATTGTAGAAATGTTTTTACCTCATATGAACCACCTGACATTGGAACAGACTTTCTTTTCACCAGTGTTACCAAAGGTATAGTACTTTTATTATTCAAATCTACATGTTTATAAAAGTTGAAAAATCTAGTCTCAGTTTTAGATAATTTATCTTTAGTTGTGGTTCTGTTTTTTAAATATATCAAACATATTTGAAATACAAATAAGTAGTAAAAAATAGATCTCGTGAGAATACGATGGTGTTAGTATGATAATTAGATGATTAAAAACTATTATATTTTCAGATTGTATGGATCCTTTACTAATAGAATTTAAATTATTTGTATTTAATTTTAAACACTCTTATTTTAAAGCTATTAAATGAAAATTTGGGGTGGATGATGAAGTTAGCTAAGGCCCTTTGTTTTTTTCTTCTCTGTAGTGTTTATTAATAATAGTTAAGTTTCAGTGTCTGGAAAAATTGGAGCCCAAGTTTCTTAAAGAAATCTTAGAATAGAAAAAGCTGAAATATTGTTAAAATCAAGTAAGAAAAAACATTAAATTCATAGACTACATTATTACTTTTTAGATATATATGGTATACTTTTTCTCTGAAAAAGTCTTTTTTTTTATTTGAGGGAACTAAAGGTGCTTTGGTGCCAAAATGAAACAGACTTATTTGTGATAACTTATCTATTACTGGAATGGATTTCTGTGGTTAGCTTTTCAGCAGATAATCATCAGAATTTCTTTTACTCACAGTCATTGGATTATTCTCTATCTGAAAAGTTTCTGAAAATTTATTCTTCACCACCAGAAAAAGGTTTAGCTATTGTATAGATGAAAACAGGGATGTTGAGTATAAACGGGCCTATAGGGAACAATATCCTCTTTAACTACACTGTGTTGTTATTCTTGTAATGTTTAGGCTATTTAAATTGTTTAGAAAGTTCCAAAAATTTAGATCTTAGACTGGCTAACTTTTCACAGACAAAAAGCTAAATCCAGGAAGGCTGTCTTTAATCAGTCTAAAAGGGGAACTGGTTAGAATATAAATGAATAGCAAATATGTGATTCAGTACAAATTTATTACCACTACCAGAAAATACCCTTGTAAATGCCCACATGAATGTTGACTGGTCAAGACAGTCATCTTTTATTGTGCAAATAATAGTACTTACATTGGTTGCATCCCCCAAAAATGAATTTTGAGTGATTTTTTTTTTATTGATGTTATTAAATAAATTTAAACCATAGGAATGGAAAATAAGTCAATTCTGTTTGAAGGGTTTTTTTAGGGACTGTATTGCAGAAATACTTTTTCTATATATCTTTTAATCTTTTACTTAACTAAGTGCAATTGTTAAGCTAGACAATACCCCATGGGTGTTACTAATGCAAAATCAAACCATCCTATTGTTTTTTTCTTTAAGGATATGTCTTTCCTTTTCTAGCGATTTCTCTTGTTTATAACCTGATTTATTTAAACAGACCGTGAAATTGTTTGATGACATGATGTATGAATTAACCAGTCAAGCCAGAGGACTATCAAGCCAAAATTTAGAAATCCAGACCACTCTAAGGAATATTTTAGAAGTAAGTCAAGTGTTTTAGAAAGGGGCAGAGAGAGGGGGAGCTTAAAGAATGTGAGGATTTTTATACTGATATTGATTAGCCATGTATTCTTTATGTGATGGCCCAATGATGGAATTAAATTTATAGAATTAAAGATAAGAATACAGAAACATGAATTCAGAATTTTTTATACAATTTCATGCTGAGTAAATATCTAAACTCTTACAAGAAGACAAGTCATCAAGATAGTGCGCCCTGGGCCGGCCTGGTGGCACACTCGGTAGAGTGCGGCGCTTGGGAGTGCGGTGGCGCTCCCGCCGAGGGTTCGGATCCCATATAGAGACCAGTCCACTCACTGGTTGAGCGCGGTGCGGGTGCGACACCGAGGGTTGCGATCCCGTTGCCGGACGCGGTACGGGCGTGACACCGTGGGTTGCGATCCCGTTACCGGTCACGAAAAAAGACAAAAAGGAAAAAAAAAAAAAGATAGTGCGCCCTACCTGTAATTTCAAGGCATATGTGTAGAACACTTGCCATGTGCTTTGAAGTTTGAGTTAGGGTTCCAAATGGCTAGACAGTTGTTCCAATATTTGTAGTTCTGATAGACTGAAGTTCTGTGAAAAGAGGAACAGAGTGTCTGTTTTGTTTACTGCTATATCCCTAGCACCCAGCATATTGTCTACTACTTTTTCAGTACACAAAAAATATATTTTGAATGAAACTTCTTTCCTTATTTCCAGACAATGGTGCAGCTTTTAGGAGCTCTTACAGGATGTGTTCAGCATGTCTGTGCCACACAGGAATCCATCATTCTAGAAAATATTCATAGTCTCCCCTCCTCAGTCCTTCATGTAATCAAAAGTACATTTTTACATTGTAAGGTAAGTAATAGGTATAAGTATACTTTAAATGGTTTGGAATCAGTAGGCACAGGGGCTGAGTAAAATAGTGTTTGTACATAAGATTTACATTTTAGCCTATATTCTTGAAATACACTTTTGCATGCAACAAAGAGCATGTATGTAAATAATTGTTTCAAAGTAAGTGGTTAAAGGAAATCATAAAAAGCGGGCTTTTGAGGTTTTTTTTTTTTTTTTTATCCTATTTCCCCTCTATAAAGAAGTGATAGGATTTGTGTTGTCACAGAGATCCTAGAGTCATTCTGTCATATGGCATTGGTGGATCAGTGATCAATTACCTTAATGATTAGGTGTCTGAACGTCCCTTTATAAAGGGAAGTTAACCCTTATTTAATCCCTCAGGAATCTACATTCCTGAGGCATCATTAAGGTCCAAAAACTGGCCTAGAATTTGTGGAGCACAAGCAGTTTTGATATTTCTATTTGTTGGGTGAATGAAAAATTGCTAGTTAATAAATACTTCTCTTTGGAGATAAGATGCTGAGATGTCATGCAGCTGACCTAATGTTGTCTCCTTTCTAGTTTTATATTTACAAGATCATGGAAGTCAGAAATCACATTTTATATATGCTTATCTCTCTCTCTATATATAAAGGATGTTCACTAAACATTTGTTTAGTGAATGAATATGATTCAGTAAAAAGTATTAAATTTATGATCTCTAATAATATGAGTTAAAGTAAATTTGGCTGTTGAACTTTTTATGATTTGCTTTTTCTCGTTTTTATTTGTGATCAGAATAGTGAATCTGTGTATTCTGGGCATTTACACGTAGTTTCAGACCTTCTCCAAGCTCTTTTCAAGGAGGCCTATTCTCTTCAAAAGCAGCTAATGGAACTGCTGGACATGGTTTGCATGGACCCTTTAGTAGATGAGAATGATGATATTTTGAATATGGTAATAGGTGAGTGAAAAAAACTAACTTCTTAGTATATGATATATATTGACTGCAAATCATGTATTAGTTAAAATTGTTTCTATTGATGCATGTTATCTTCTTATTCATTATGCATAAAAATATTTTCAATCTTACTGGATATATTTTTAATCTTTTAAAATTTTGGAATTTGTAAAATTGATTTTTGGTGCCTTAACATAGATTTTCATATTCAGTTAATGTTCATAGTAGGTAATTTCCTCACAATGATTAGCAAAGAAAGGTATGCAACTTTATACCTTCTAAAGTTGTCCATATTCTGAGGCAGTAGTTTTCAGGTTTTTAACCATAGCCCATACATAGTAAGAAATATAGTTTGCATTCCTTCCTGGAATACCTATAAGTACATGTGTATGTTTGTGAATCTCTGTATACAAAGACACTTTTTTTGTTATAATGAAATCATACCCATTTTACATGTGATGTATTCTGTACTATTTCATTTTTAAAGAATTGTTGATTATAACATACTTCATTGATTTTATCACTCACTAATGGATTATGACCCAGACTTTGAAAAACAATACTCTAATGTGTAACAGTAAAGATTGCATTCATAACTGGTATGAAGAGAGTATACTGGTTTTGTGCACCGTACCTGGTATCTTTTACTCTGTAACAAACCACCCCCAAATCTATTTTAATTATTTACAATTCAGTGAGTCTGGAGTTTAGGCTGGGATCAGCTGAGACAACTTTCTCTGCTCCACACGGTACAGCTGGTTCACTCAGTTTTATGGCCAACATCACTCACATCCGGCTGTTGGCAGAGGCAGAAGTACTGAGAAAGCCATGTGTAGCACATCATCCAGCAGACTAACCCTGGCTCAGTCACCTCATGATGGTCTCAGGGTTTCCAAGAACAGCAAGAGAGGGCAAGTCCCAATACGCAGGCACTTTTCATTTCTGCTCACCTTAATTTTATTATTGTCCCCGTAGCCAAAGCAAGTCATGGGGCTAAGCCCAGAGTCAGTGTGGAAGGTAGTGGATGCAAAAAGGGCAGTTGTGGCCTTTTACCATAGGCAGAGTAAAAGCGTTACATGAGTACTGTGTAGAGTAGTTTTAATTCTTCCTTGTTAGGCTTTCTTTCCTTAGCAGTTGATTTTGTGATGTTGGATTAGAACTGTATCTATCAAATATTTCCCCTATTTATAATAGGGCACAACTTTTATTCCACTGAGCATTTTTAATTTTATTTAGGTTATAGGGTAGGTATAAACTTCAAAAGTTAATTTTCCATAATTTATAAAAACCTTAAATCCAAAGTCTAACACTTATTTTCAATAATTAACACTTATTTTCAATAATTGTTCTGGTACAGTTATTTTTTAATTCAATCAAATGTTGAAATTTTTCAGTAGATACTTTTTTTTAATTTAATTTTATTTTATTTAACTTCTCAAAATACATTGTACTTGATTTTCATGCCCCTTTACCATTCCTCTCTACCCCGCCCCCACATCGTATCTGTGCACTTGGCTTAAATAGCTCAAGGAATTTTTGTGGTTATTCTGTCTTCTTCCCCCCACCCTTTGTTTTTGTGTTTATTTATTTATTAATTTTTAGCTTCCACAAGTAAGTGAGAACATGTGGTATTTTTCTTTCTGTGCCTGACTTGTTCCATTTAATATAATTTTCTCCAAGTCCATCCATGTTGTTGCTAATTTTAGTATTTCATTCTTTTTTATAGCAGAGTAGTATTCCTCTGTGTAGATGTACCACACTTTCCCTATCCACTCATCAGATGATGGACATTTGGGCTGGTTCCAGCTCTTGGCTATTGTAGATAGAGCTTCAATAAACATTGGAGTACAGGTATCCTTTGGCATGAGATTTCCATTCTTGTGGGTATATTCCCAGCAGTGGGATCACTGGGTCATATGGTAGATCTATCTGTAATTGTTTGAGGAACGTCCATATCATTTTCCATAAAGGCTGCACCATTTTGCAGCCCCACCAACAGTGGATGAGAGTTCCTTTTTCTCTGCAGCCTCTCCAGCACTTATCATTCTCAGTCTTTTGGATGTTAGCTATCCTAACTGGAGTGAGATGGTATCTCAGTGTGGTTTGATTTGTATTTCCTGGATGTTGAGTGATATTGAGCACTTTTTCATGTGTCTGTTGGCCATTCATATATCTTCCTTTGAGAAATGTCTGTTCAGCTCTTTTGCCCATTTTTTAAATGGGTTATTTGTTTTTTTTGTTGTAAAGTTGTTTGAGTTCCTTGTATATTCTGGATATTAATCCTTTGTCAGATGTATATTTAGCAGATATTTTCTCCCACTCTGTTGGTTGTTTTTTTATTCTTGATTGTTTCTTTTGCTGTGCAGAAGCTTTTTGATTTGATATAATCCCATTTATTTATTTTACCTTTAGTTGCCTGTGCTTCTTGGGTCCTTTTCATGAATTCTGTACCCACTCCTATTTCCTGGAGTGTTTCCCCTATGTTTTCTTTAGGGAGTTTTATTGTTTCAGGGTGTATATTTAATTTCTTTAATCCATTTTGAGTTGATTTTGGTATATGGTGAAAGATACACGTCTAGTTTCATTCTCCTACATATGATTATCCAGTTTTCCCAGCATCATTCATTGAAAAGGCATTTTCTTCCCCGGTATGTAAACTTGCTGCCTTTGTCAAAGATCAGATGGCTGTAGGCATATGGGTTAATTTCTGGGTTCTTTATTCTGTTCAGTTGATCCATGTGACTGTTTTTATGCCAGTACCATGCTGTTTTGGTTATTATAGCTTTGTAATATAGTTTAAAGTCAGGTAGTGTTATGCTACCAGCTTTATTTTTTTGCTCAGGATTGCTTTGGCTATGTGTGGTCTTTTGTTGTTCTATATAAATGTCCGGGTAGCTTTTTCCATCTCAGAGAAAAATGTCATTGGAATTTTGATGGGGATTGCATTGAATTTGTAGATCACTTTGCATAATATGGACATTTTCACAATGTGAATTCTTCCAATCCAAGAGCATGGGATATCTTTCCATCTTCTTGTGTCCTTTTTAATTTCTCTCAACAGTGTAGTTCTCTTCATAGAGATTTTTCACATCCTTGGTCAGCTTTATTCCTATTTTATTTTTTTTTTGTGGCTATTGTAAATGGGCTAGCTTTCTTGATTTCTTTTTCTTCATGTTCACTGGTGGAGTATAGAAATACTACTGATTTTTGTGTGTTGATTTTGTACCCTGCAACTTTACTGAAATTGTTTATCAATTCTAGGAGTTTTTTTTATAGAAGCTTTAGGCTGTTCGATATATAGGATCATATCATCTACAAAAAAGTACAGCTTGACTTTATCATTTCCAATCTGGGTGCCCTTTTATTTCCTTCTCTTCTCTGATTGCTCTGGCTAGTACTTCCAACACTATGTTGAATAGGAGTCGTGAGAGTGGGCATCCTTGTCTAGTTCCTGTACTTTCCTGTTCAGGATGATATTGACAGTGGGCTTATCGTATATGGCTTTAATTATGTTGAGATAGTTTCCGTCTATGCCTAGCTTGTGGAGAGTCTTTATCATGAAAGGATGTTGAATTTTGTCAAATGCTTTTTCAACATCACTAGAGATGATCATGTGGTTTTTGTCTTTGCTTTTATTAACATGGTATATCACATTTATTGATTTGCATATGTTGAACCAACCTTGCATCCCTGTGATGAATCCCACTTGATCATGGTGTATAATTTTGTGTATGTGTTGCTGTATTCTGTTAGCTAGTATTTTATTGAGGATTTTTGCATCTATATTCATCAAGGATATTGGCCTGTAGTTTTCTGTTTTTGATGCATCTTTGTCTAGTTTTGGTATCAGGGTGATATTTGCCTCATAGAGTGAGTTTGGGAGAATGGCCTCTGTTTCAGTCTTTTGGAACAGTTTGTAGAGAATTGGTATCAGTTCCTCTTTGAAGATTTGGTAGAACTCTGCAGTGAACCCATCCGGTCCTGGGCTTTTCTTTGTTGGGAGCGTTTTGATAACAGCTTCAATCTCTTTTATTGTTATTGGTCTGTTCAGATTTTCCATATCTTTTTGGCTCAGTTTTGGTAATATGTATGTATCCAGAGATTTATCCATTTCCTCCAGATTTTCACATTTGTTGGCATATAGATGTTTATAGTAGTCTCTAAAGATTCCTTGTATTTCTGAGGTGTCAGTTGTCATATCACCTTTTTCGTTTCTAATTTTTGTTATTTGGGTCTTCTGTCTTCTTAGTAAGTCTTGCTAAAGGTTTGTCGATTTTATTAATCTTTTTAAAGAACGAACTTTTTGTTTCATTGATCTTTTGTATTATTTTTTGTATTTCTGTTTCATTTAGTTCTGCTCTGATCTTAATTATTTCTTTCTATTAACTTTAGGTTTGGATTGTTCTTATTTTTCTAGATCTTTAAGGTGAAGTGTTAGGTTATTTATTTGCCATCTTTCCATTCTTCTGAAGTAAGCATTTAATGCAATAAATTTCCCCCTTAAAACTGCTTTTGCAGTATCCCACAAGTTTTGGTATGATGTGTCATTATTTTCATTAGTTTCAAGAAAATTTTTTTTTTTTTCTTAAAAGATGACGGGTAAGGGGATCTTAACCCTTGACTTAGTGTTGTCAGCACCACGCTCAACCAGTGAGCGAACTGGCCATCCCTATATAGGATCCGAACCCGTGGCCTTGGTGTTATCAGCATCTCACTCTCGCAAGTGAGCCCCGGGCCGGCCCTTCAAGAAATTTTTTGATTTCCTGATTAATTTCTTCTTGGACCCACATGTCATTAAGTAGAATGTTGTTCAATTTCCATGAGTTTGTACAGTTTTCAGAATTCTGTTTATTACTGATTTCTAATTTTTATCCACTGTGACT